ATTGCGGATTAAGCAGACCACTGACCTATAACATAAAGTGATTGATCCAAAGTGTCTGTTGGTGAAGGAGAAATCAAGACAGGATAGAATCTACCCTGACTTTAAGTGCTTCATTACACAGATATGTAGACAGGCAGAAACTATGTTTTGGTCATTGTAAAAGAAACAAAGTTAAACCCTGACATCACTGATTACTAGCAACCATTTGTGGGTGAAATTTACACATAATCTAGCAAACCTTTGCTACATTTAGAGAGATATGTAAATGAACAGAGAGGTAAAAGTCTTATTATAGAGGGCGTGTGACACTTAGTGGCAAATGTCCTACCTCATGATGAGATAAGAATGGGCAATATTGAAAGGAGCAAAGGTCTTAAATCAGTTTCCTGGCTTTCTAGAAGACAGTAGGAAGCCTTCTAGTCTCATCCTGTTACCTAGAATGAGGTTGAAATTTGCTGAGTGATTTTTTCAGTGTATAAAAGGTGGGAATGGAAGTGTTTGTTTCCGGATGGTATCTTCCCATTTTCATTCCCATTTCTATCCTTAAATCATCCCGAATCATATAAAAGGACAGATCTGATCCTTCCCCAAAAAGATAGCTTGGGGACTTTAGAGGGTTTTTGGGATGGAAAGTCTAACAGTGGATGTGGGAACAGAAATCTTTCCATTTTCATTCTCATTACAGGTTGTCCTCAACTTACAACCACAATTGAGCCCAAAATATCTGTTGCTAAGCAAGACACATGTTAAGTGAATTGTGCCCCATTTTACGACCTCTCTTGCCACAGTTGTTAAGTGAATCACTACAATTCTTAATTTAGTAACACGGTCGTTAAGTGAATCCGGTTTCCCATTGACTTTGCTTGTCAGAAGGTCACAAAAGGTGATCACATGACCTTGGGAAATGAACTGTTTATGTTTATGGGTGATTAACTGGTTGACAGATATAGGGTCATTTCTGTACAAACTACCGTTGGCCACAACCAAGTACCATTCCTACAGGGTTAAGTCAGGCAACACCTATATAGTCACATTACATATTTTTTTTTATGTAGTTCAAAGAGTTTTATGTTTGGTGTATACGCTTGGAAATGGTAGAGGTATGTTCTGGCTAGTAATGAGAAATGTAATGGCTGCAATTCTAAGGAGATAAGGGTTGTGTTAAAAGCTTGTTTTGAAGTCATTGCATGATGAACCACAGTATTCAGTAGAGCCACTGAATACTGATTGACTGCACTGCACATTTTCAAATCACTTCTGGCTTTTTGCATGCCTTTCTAGCTTCTTGCATGCCTGCTGATGTCTTGAAGACAGAGGATATGCAATAATGTTTGGTCATGTTAGATCTTAGATTGCCTGTAAAGTTTCTCGGTCTTGAAATTCTTTATTTTGTTATCCAGGAGATAATCATTCCCTGGCAAAAATGAGCAAGGGTACATTGTGTGTATGTGTGTGTGCGTGCGAACATGGTGTGC